CCAAACTTAGTATGCTGCTTTTAAATCTCCCTTCAATTTAGATTTTATTTAGATTATAGGTATGTGAGCTACTGCATTTACATTTACCCTGCCTACCTACAAGAATTATGTAAGATAATAAAAAAGCTCCCTAGTAAAACATAGCACAAATGACACTCTGTTTGGAATTTTTCAAACTGACAATGAGAAACAATAGCACAGGCTTAAGGCTGCAATGTACAGAAGACTGACAGCTCATGATTGGTCAGTCATAAATCCGCGTAGGATGTGAGTTTCTGTGACTTCCTATGATGTTAAGTTACCAATCTTCACATGTGGTTTTCACTCCCATCGATAGTACTCTAACAAAAGCACGCAGCCCCCACCTCCTGAAAGGTCCCTGAAGAAACACCCAAATAACCTGGATAGAAGCAGCTACTAAAGGATTACTTACATTATCCCTTAAATTTAAAAAATAATCTTATTCAAATGCCTTAACTTTTTTAACCTGCTTATATTTCTTTATTCTTTAGAATTCTACATTATAACTTCTTCAGAAGATCACATAGAAAATCCTCCATGACTTACTAGCAATTACCTTTCAATGTTCTACAAAGTATAAGGGCATGGATTATTACATTTTTAGTATAAAGTGAATATTTAGGTTACCAGCCTATTCCAGACATTTACCTAACATCTTCCTTCATAATCAGAAGTATAGCCCAAAAGTACCTTTCAAGTATTCCACAAAAATACTTAGACTCAAAAAATTTTCAATGTAGGGATAAAAAAGAAAAAAATGGGGGAAAAATCCATGAAGAAAGCGATACAAATTCTGAATTTATATGGTGACAATATTAGCATAACATTTTCAATTAGCAGTGACTTGCAATAGAAACTGATGCACAGATTAGACACAAACTATAGAAATTTAGGTAAAAAGTGATGAGATACCTAAGAGTCAAAATAACAAGAGACAGATACTAAAATCAGAGTATTGACTTTCTACACAAAGGATTCCAAACAAACAGAATAGTAAAGGTGGTTAATAAATCAAACACAGCGTTCAGATAGTTGTATCAATCAATCTAAGCAATACAAAGCAGGGGCTCAAAGCAATGATGTCTAATTAGAACCATGAATAAATAACCCCAATAAATAGTTATTTTGTGGGGGTCTTTGTCAGTTTCATTTCATTTCATTTGAAGTTGGGCACAAAACTATAATCCTAGAATCAAAATGAGGGTATAATAAAAAAATTAAAACTAGTTTCTTCTCAAGCATATGCAGGTGAAACTGCAATACAGCTTCATTTCTTATTTTCACTGACATGAATGGGAAAAGTAAGAAAATGGTAGCAAAATGCATCAGAGTGAGGTCTGAACCTAGTATTTAGAAACGGTGAGGAAACAGAAGATCACAAAGATCTGGCCAATATCACAATGATCTAAAGCTTCCTACCTCATACCCTATTACTTAGGGTACTACTCATACCCTATTACCCTATCATAAATGATCCAGCATTATGCCAGGTTTTTAGGGGTGTTAAAGAGAGAAATGAGACAGAGTTCTGCCCTCAGGTTACTTAAAAGCTAGCAGGGAAACTGAGTCCGGAGTGACACCCAGTCTTTAGAACTGGTAAATAAAAGACAACTGGTCTATAAGTGTAGATTCCAGCATTGCATACATATTCCACTAACTTGCCCAGGTTGAAGTTGACAAAATTTACCACATTCTAACACATTAGTTTATTTATTCATTATCTGGGATTAGATGAACTAATAACCTTGCTTCTAAAATATGATTCCTAACTCCATGATAAACTACTATTATAATGTAGTCTCTCTTTTTAAAAACAACCTTTAAAAATTAAAACCACCACACACAACTGTCATATACCTTATTAAAAATAAATACAAGGGGAGGGCATGGTGGCTCACGCCAGTAATCCTAGCACTCTGGGAGGCTGAGGCAGGCGGATTGCTCGAGGTCAGGAGTTTGAAACCAGCCTGAGCGAGACCCTGTCTCTACTAAAAATAGAAAGAAATTAATTGACCAACTAAAAATATATATACAAAAAAAACAGCTGGGCATAGTGGCACGTGCCTGTAGTCCCAGCTACTCAGAAGGCTGAGGCAGTAGGATCGCTTGAGCCCAGGAGATTGAGGTTGCTGTGAGCTAGGCTGACGCCAGGGCACTCACTCTAGCCTGGGTGACAAAGTGAGACTTTGTCTCAATAAATACATACATACATACATACATACATACATACATACATACATATAAGGTGTTCAAAAGCACTTATGATAAAAGGAAACAAATATTAATAGTATAATCACATTGGATGTATAATCTTATGGCCCAAGCTAAATATGCTACAGGAATGAATATTTTGCATTCCTGATGAATAATTCTTACCTTCACAAGGCATGTTAAAAAAAAATCCTAGGAAATAATTAGGAATGAGAGGAAGCGAAGTATAAGCCAACACTGCAATATCATCTGACCTCAGCTGTACTATTAGACATCCACAAGCTCCTTTATATTTTCTATTTTCAAAAATTCTAGGGCACCTCTGGAATCTTAAAACTGACAGTGTGAGATTGATTGCTCAAGAAGTTAAGTCTAAAGATACTTTTTAAATGCAATCATTCCAGCCACAAAATTCAAAGAAATCATACTCAAGTGTTTAGTAAAAATTAATACTGCAACACTCACTGCCACACTAAATCAGGGCGTTAAAGTCAGAATATCAATATTGTCAGTTGCTTCTCTGCAGTACTTAAACTGCATTCAATTACTTTTCAGGAGAAAGAGGAATAGAGCTTCATAGACAAAGTATACTCAAAACGGATAAATTAAAAAAACAATTGTAATCCACTGTGAATTCAGATCATTTCCAATTAGAAACAAGAAATGATGTGAGTCTTAAAATCACTGTGAAGTTATATTCAAGAGTTCCCAGTTCTATTGCAAATTGAAAGAGATTTACATGGTTGCAATATTAAAACACAAATGGATATTATAGTTTTTGAGGGGGGCCAAGGGTTAAGATTAATGGGAGGATGCTTTAAATCTATTCCAAAGAGTGATTCAACAGAGGACTTTCTTTTTAAAACATGCTACATGAAAACAGCGTGATCAACCAGAACTAGCTTTAGAATCAGGGTGAGTGGCCTAGGCCTGGCCCTGGCTCTGTCATGCAAAGGACAATGGTACCTTGGACAACAGGACTGCTCAGTGTGTGAGCACAGGAGCCAGGCAGAAACTGCGGATGGAACAGAAAACTCTTAATGCAATGGTGAATTGGATTAGATGATCTCTTAATTTCTAAATTTATGCTTTGGGGCGAGTGAGAGGACATGACCAGACAGATATCAAACTGATTCTATAAGACTTTACTTGCGTACAGATAACAGGAACCATATGGTAAATAAAAGCTATATGCATTAATAAGAGCTAGATATATTTATCCAGTCCTGATCATAAGCAGGACTTCCTGGATATTTTAAAGATGACCTACATTTACATAGTTTTTTTTTAATATAATAATCACACAAAAGGAAATACAGCCATGTGTCCCATAATAAAGTTTTAGTCAACAACAGGCAGCATACATGATAGTGCTTCAATAAGATTATAATATTCCATTTTTACTGTCCCTTTTATATGTTTATATGTAAATACTTACCAATGTGTTACTACTGCCTACAGTATGTAGTACAGTAGAAGCAACAAGCTATATCATATAGCCCAGGTGTGTAACAGGCTACACCAACTAGGTTTGTGTGAGTATACTCTATGATGCTCGCACAATAACAATATTGCCTAACCACATGCTTATCAGAACGTATCTCAGTCATTAAGTAACACATGTCTATACCAAAAGTAATGAGTATATCAATGCACACACTTCTTAAATTGGAGAGATTACTTCTGATATTAAATATACCAGATTAGTTGGACAATAATATCCATATTTACCTCCTTTCTTCCCTCACTATCCAAGATAATGCTAGCAATAAAATCATTCAGAAAGATATCCCTCACACTCCTTTAATTTATAATTGCCATGTTTATTTCCTCACTGAGAGCTAAATATACATAGTCATGACATAAATTCTCATCATGCAAGGCATATTCTTTATATTGTCCTTCAGGATTTTAACTCTGGTTGCAAGGAAATTTAATTCTTTGTCATTAGAGATCATTGAGAAATAAAGCAAATACTACTATAATAACTGAAATTATCAAGCTGAGCAACTGTAACTGCTATGCATGAGTGAAGGACTCAGTGTTGAGATCTAGTAGTTTTTCACTTTCAAGAATGTTCTGATTATTCCTTAAAGACAATTTTTAAGAAAAATGAAGGCAGAACCTAATTAAATGTGTGACATAGTAGATAATGGAATCAAAGATTAAAAGTAAGCTTAACTTTCAACAGAGTCTTTAGGAAAAACAATTTATAGCAAGAGCATTCTGTGTCCCCCAAATGGGGAATCAGTTGTTATTAAATGTTCTATGTCAAGTTCACAACAATGCACACACACAGCAGACACATTAGAGTTTGTTGGTGTATGAAGGTTAAGATGAATACGTGGGGGAAAGGCCTTACACTAGTTAAAAAGTTGGATATGAGCATGGTTTCTTCAGGGGTCACTGAGGACCCCCACCTTGAGTGTTTCTTAGAATATTTATTTTCAAGAACTGCAAAATAGGGCTTGGCAGGAAAATAAAGCAAAATTTTGAGGTCTTGAAAATATACGTGTGGACTTGATAAATTGACAATCCCTGCAGGTTCCTAAGTAAAGAAATAAAACCTAGAGATTTACTCAATACTTCTACAACAGATATAGAGCTAGCATATAAGGTGATTTGGAGAGGGAAGACAAGAAATACAGGGATATGTGGGATTGCATACAAAAGCAAGGGTGCAATCTTATCTTTTCACTAGACTTAAGTGTGTCCACAGTAGGTGGGGTGAGAGGAGGGGTTGAGCAATTCCAAATTAAGCCACTTACTGCTGTCCATGCATTTATTTTGCACCGGGCACAGAGCCATCCATCACAGATCTCATGAGAAGGAATACCATAACAACCTGTAAAACAATAGTATAGATCCATGCATTAGGTCTTTTACATCTTTAATAAAATATTTCACATCTCAGGACTGAAATAATAAAATCAGGACATCTGCCTACCATACTGTTTTGAATCCACTGCTTAGAATAAAGCATAAGCAAATCTATCTCAAAGATAACTTTGGTTCTCATGTTTCTTAACTGTTGTTCCTAGGAAACAGAGTTTGAGTCTTATTGGTATTTATTCTCACAAAAGATTCATAGAGAATACTGGCAAATGATGAGTGGACAATAATAAAATTTCTAAATCTTCAAGTCTAATCCTTCACTCAGTCAAAAATATTTCAAAATCTGGATCCCATAAAAACAAGAAAACCAGATGTGCTCTCCACTGATACTGCATGAAACTGGAGAAAAAAGGATGATTATACCTACTCATGCTTTTATAAGAAGTGTGAGAAAGAACAATCTAACCATTAAGAATGGCAATAGTGATATGCAATAGATTTGACAGGTTACAAAGAAGTGAGAAATAAAGACTATGCGAAACACTGAAAAGCTTGATGAATTATAGATTCATTTACTTGCATGAACCCGTACGCAGCATTTTGCACAAGAAATCAGAAGACTTGTTCCATCCTCTTCAAGGAAGGCATTGGGTGGGGAGTATTCTATATTTTCTTCACTATAAATAAAACACATCTCTGGAATGAGGGGCTTAGTCTTTGCTCCCGATGTATCCATTTCATCTGATTTCATCTCCCATCTAGCATCGTTTTCTTCGTTGCTGCTATCTGGCTGAAAAAACATAGTATTTCCAAACAAGTGAAAAATGTGGAAAAGTGCCCATCATATGTTCTTGTCATCAACTCCACAACAGACACCTGGTTATAGCCACTAACTTCTAACATTTTTTTCTTCCTACTGCTCTGCTGGAGCCAACTATTTGCTTTTTAACAATGCTACTCCTCAGAAGTCCATCGAGAGGCTAATCTGTAAGAACAAGAGAATATGCAGCATGTCTGCAAATATAAGAAAATGAAGAGCTACTAAAACTATGTTTTTCCAGAAACAGTTCATGGAAAACATCAATTCTGATGAAATTTTTTTGTTTGTTTCTTTATTTGTACTAGGTCAACAAACCTGCTTTCATTGACTGAAGAACCTTACCTGGTTACACTTGTTCAAAGACCCCAGTTTTAATCTGTGCAACAGTATTAAGAGAGGTTTTGAGGGCTTCTGCCTCACCACAAAGTTTGAAAACAACAGAAGAGATAATCTGCCACATGTCACCAAGAAAGTATAAGGTGCCAAGTAAAATTATCATCTCTCACGAAAATATATGAGAAATGTGTTTAGTATTTATTTATAACTATAATTACCTTATAGATTTTATTAATATATCAGTAAATTTCCCCAAATCCTAAAATTTTAGTTGAAATTTTATTAATTATTGGGAAATATTTAGGCAGATAATGATGTAGAAATAAAAATCAATAAAAAGTTAAAACACAGAAATTAAATAACCAAAGAAAAACAAAAATAATATCTTTCACTCACCAATGCCACATTCAAAAACATGAAGGGAATAAAATATTTTCTCTGTTAACAAAGGTCTGAAAATGTGGCCTATCACAACACATTTTCTTGCGCTGAAATTTCTGAATGAAATAGAGTTTACCTTTACATGGAACTTTAAGACAGATATAATCTTGAATAAAATATTTCTGATTCTATTAATGACAACATAACTCCAAATGCAATGTTCATGCCGACATACTTTATAATATATTGCATTTTCAACTGGACCATGTAGTGCCACCTTTACTAGATCCCAAAGATCATCTCATTTGTGTTAGTGGTGAAGAATGTGGCTCCCCATGAGTTGAGAGGCTGTCAGCATAAGATATACAGAATAATACATCAAGCATCGGGCACAGCTGGATGATCAGGGTAAGCCAGGCATTTCCATTTTATTGAGTCCTGGCTGCAACTTTTGCATGTTTCACACAGGAAGGTGAAGAGAGACATTTGGGCCCAAAGGTGACATGTATATTATATGAGAGTGATATTTTCAAACAAAAAACAGAGACTAAGTCTGTATTCTCTTTGCAAACTGCTACAATCTGTAAGCTTTAAGTTCTGTGTTTCTTGGCAAAAGGGATAAAAAGGTTGGAAGTACCCCTTCCCCAAAACAACATAAGATATTCCAGAAAGATCAAGTACTATCAGAAAAGTACTATCTCCAAAGAAGCACTCAGAAATTGTTTGTTATTCTGGGAAGGCCATTAGCTACAGAAGGATTATTATCTTCCTCTCGTGGTCATCCTGAGCCTACAGGTAACCTTGTGCATGGGCAGTCATACAGAGCACACCACAGTGAGAGGGAACCATGACAGCACCGGCCATTACCTTGTAGTATGGCTTAAGCAGAGTGCAGATGGCACAGTATGGCTCCATCTTGGCCACAGCTGCATTATACTCTTGCTCAGCCACAAAGTTAGGGGACCTCGTCTGCCAAAGGTGGACAAGCGGCTTCGCCCATGACTCTGTTTCTTCCACTTCCTCTTCAATCGATGGAACCTCAGGCAATTCTTAAGGAAGAAGGCATGAAAACACAGTGAGCATGGGAACCAGGGAAAACAATAACCCTGGTTTTTAAAAGAAACAGACATTCCAAAGTATCTATGATATCAATGCTAGACACCAAGCCTATTTTGTCATTCAAATACATTAAGAGAACTAAATTAAAGGGAGTTTCCTTCTCCTCACCCTCATCCTGCAAAGACTACATCAGCTCTGATGACCAGATGACCACCCACCCTAAGTGACCTTCCCCATCCCTGCTAGGAATATACTGCTCTCTCCTTTCAACTTCACTACTTCTGTGTTTCTTCTATAACATCTCTAACTGCAAAGAAAAAATACAGTGTATGTGTGTGAGATTATCTTTTAGTTACCAGGAGAATCTACTCTCCCAGCAACTGCCTCCCAATACTTTTACTTTCTTCACCTAACATAGTACATGGCTCAATAAAATTTAATTGGATTTCATTTAAACTTTTGGGTTCAATGGGCCGGGCGTGGTGGCTCACACCTGTAATCCTAGCACTCTGGGAGGCCAAGGCGGGCAGATTGCTCGAGGTCAGGAGTTCGAAACCAGCCTGAGCAAGAGCGAGACCCGTCTTCATATAAATAGAAGAAATTATTTGGCAAACTAATAATATAGAAAAATTAGCCAGGCATATTGGCACATGCCTGTAGTCTCAGCTACTTGGGAGGCTGAGGCAGCAGGAATGCTTGAGCCCAGGAGTCTGAGGTTGCTGTGAACTAGGCTGATGCCATGGCACTCACTCTAGTCTGGGCAACAAAGTGAGATTTTGTCTCAAAAAAAAAAAAAACTTTCGGGCTCAAGAATTTATGACAATTAACATTTATAGAGCATCTATAATGTACCAAGCAACATACTAGCATTATGTGGATTAAAAGACAATCCCTAGTCAAATTTCATATTTATTCTGCATAATGCCTCTCAAGATCAAATGCATGTATATCTGTTAAGACAAAAGGAGGAGAGACCTACTCCGCAAGAATATCACTTTACAAACTGTTCTCATAACTATAACAGGGGTGAAAGCTCTGTGCAGTGCTTAATGTCTAAAATTCCTCACCAGTAGCTACCACAGTCTTACGAATGGATACTGCAGACAAATGTCCTTAACTCCAAAGCACTGGTGAGCCAGTGTGTTCCAGCCCTTGCCATGTTGACTTACCTGTTACAGGAAAAAGTCAAATCAGATTCATTCTGACAGAAAAGTGGGAAGGACTGAATGAGGCTAACAATAATTCAAAAGATCTCAAATGCCATGTGAAGCAAAAAGGAATGATCCTATTTCCATAATGGTGACATAATTATTATTCCCAGTATTGTTGATTTTTTTTTCCACAATGGAAAATGCTTGGTACTCAGCCACAGAGTTTTGAAAATCTTTGCCTGTATTTTCAATGAGTAATCTGACCTAAATGTAAACTTGTTCCACATGCAGTTCCCTACATTACAAAATAGAAGATTATTGTGAAACTAACAGTTGATGAAGATCATAGTGAAAAGTTAATCAGGAACTTTAAATACTATTGAGCCCTTAACTCACAGGCTAATATCTCCCACAAATACACAATGTGAGATCATAAAAAAAGAGAAGAGAAGAAGAAGAGAAGAGAAGAGAAGAGAAGAGAAGAGAGAGAAGAAGAAGAGAAGAGAAGGAAGAGAAGAGAAGAGAAAGATCTTGGAATGGAAATAAGCTGTTGTTACTTAGTGGGGCCCCCCCAATGAATTTATTGCACAATTTGCTTTACTAGAAAAAACTGAATCACACAAAATAGTTGAATTCTTTATCCCAGGGATTGTTCTTCAGTTAATATGTGAAATGCCCAAAATATTTTCAGGGATGGGGAAATACGCAGTAATTCCTAAAAGCCTAGAGTAGAGATAATGAAAAAGAAGTAGGAGGAAAGACAATTCCTGAGCATGAAGCCATGGAGCGAGTGGGCTGGGCATAGCTCCACCAGCCCCTCCAATTCCACTCCTACGGCAAGGTCAGGCCTAACATGGCCTGATGATAACTAACATCCTTTCCTCAAACTTTCTCACCACTGACCTGGTAGAGGACCTGCTCTACACTTGCCATTCCCCAAACATGAAGGCATACTCTGGCCAGAAGAGAACTGTCTTCTGCTCGGATGATCTACTGGCCAGAGCATGCACTGATCACTATCACTATGTAATCCTGCAAATTAAAAGCAGCATGGCAGCAGCACTGTGCAGTACCAACAACAGGGGACTGGCTGTGCAGAGACCAAGCCCTGAGTGCCAACCCTGTGATGCAAAAGGGCTGAACAGACCTCACATGAAAATAATTCCTTCTTCACCTCCTTCAGGGTTTACCTTTTCTGTTCTTATTAAAGTGAAACAGTAGGCCAGGTATGGTGGCTCACACCTGTAATCCTAGCACTTTGGGTGGCCCAGCCAGGAGGACTCCTTGAGGCCAAAAGTTCAAGACCAGAATGAGCAACACAGCAAAACCCCATCTCTACAGAAAATTTTAAAAATTAGCCAGTTGTGGTAGTACACACCTGTAGTCCTAAACTACTCTGGAGCTGAGGCAGGAGGATCAATTGAGCCCAGGAGTTTGAGGTTGAAGTGAGCTATGATGACACCACCAGGGGTGAGACTCTGCCTCAATCAATCAATAAATTTAAAAAATAAAGTGAAATAGTAAATGTAAAACTTCCCTTTTAAATTCTAAAGTGATGTGGTTTTCTGAAAATTCTCTGTGATATACAAATATACATATTAATATAAAATCCATCTAATCATCTTATTTTCCTTTGATTTGTTTGTAAATATGATGCTGGGGGGGGAGACAGCATTGAATCATAAGTATGATGATGGCTATTCAGATTGTAATATAGCTGTAAAATAAAAAAATGTTGTACATTCTTGAACATAAATTTTTTCTACTGCTGAAATTTCCTCATAAAATTCTTCATTCTTCCCCCATCTCCAAAAATTCATGCTTACCCTTATAGGCTAACACTAACCCTTGCTTTGGCCTCTCCTAGATTTATGAGCTCAATTCTGTATACAAGATACAAGAATGTTCTAGAGAGAAAAAAAGATTCTTCAAGATACCTTACTGCTCTCATAGTCACATAATTCTATAAAAACTCTCCCTTTGCAGCCCCACACCTTGCTCTACTCGTCTTCCAGGATTCTTTTCAGTGTACCTTCATCAACTTACTTTTTTGAAACACACTTATAAACTTCCAACACCCCAAAGAGGAAACATGTTTTATTCAGCTTTAGCTTTTAAATTTTTTGATCATTTAGCATCACTATGCTTAGGAGTTTCCCCTTTTCCCCTCTTCTTCAACTACAGTTGACTAATGAACCTCTTTAGCAATGCAGCTTTTTCTTGTAATCCCATGACTTGTCTCTGCTTCTTGAGTGCACTTGCAGCATCACCGGCCACTCCTGTGGGTCACGTGGTATCATTCAAGGTTTAATGGTGTTTAAAGGTGTCATTCACTGTACTTAGTACAGTGAAAAACACAATCTACTGGAGAGACAAACTGCTCACAAGATAAGCAGATATGCACAACACTGGGACTCACAGCAGCAATGGAAGGTGGTTATGAAACAATTACAGTGGTGCAGTGTGTACTGCAGTTAGTTTTATGTAGTTGTATACTATGGCATCTTTACGTTTGCTTACATTTCTCTTGACTGCTAATGGGGGCACATATGGTCTGTGTTTTTGTGTGTAACTTTTGATAAATTCTAACTTTTTATAATAGATTTGTGTAATAGATTTTATGGTAGTAAATGATAAAACAGACTAGTACCTACATATATTTTATGTACACATGACATACTTAAATTTTCCTTAAATTTTTCTACTTTTTCTAGGCTACATGGGTGATCTGTGAGTTTTTAAAAACTGTCCCAAATCACTCCCAAAACTTCCAATGTATTTATTGAAAATAAATTCACATGTAAGCGGACCTGCAAAGTTCAAATCTACAGGTCAACTGTAATCGATAAGTAACAGCAGTTCTCAAAGTGTGATTTGTGGAATCCAGGAGATGCATGATCTTTACTTCCAAAATAACACAAAAATGTTATTTGTCTGTTATCCTGTTGACCTTTTAATGGTGACAGAAAAGCAACGCAGAGTAAAACTGTTGGTGCTTCAGCAGGAATCAAGGCAATGGCACCAAAGCAGTGGCATATTCTTTCTTGACTACCTAATACTTACAGAAGGAAAAAAAAAGCCAATTTCACTTAACATTGTCCTTGATGGGAAACACAAAGAATTGATTTTATTAAATCTATGACAAAAAAAAATATGTGCATAAAGTACTTCTGTGCAGACTAAAGTTCAGTGGTCCTTGTGCAATTAATTGAATTACAGGTTGAATAACCTGCCTTTTTCATGGAACACAATTTGTACTGAAAAAAATGATTAAAAGACAAATTATGATAGTTTAGACTTAGGTGGTTGGCAGGAATTTTCCTGAAAATGTACAAAGAAACCCCATCATTTAAGAAAAACAATTGAGAGTGTTTGCTGACAATGATAAAATTTGAGTTTACAAGTCAAAATTAAAATTCTGGAAAACATGTATCATTACTGTGAGCTTGACAGCTTGCCAATGCTTAAATCTGTTTCTGATGGGACTGATGATGATAATAACAAATGTAATTATTTACAGTTAACAATGAGATGTGTCAACACCTAAAAGATCTGGATAACTCAGAGCTTTGTTTACTAATGCATGATATTAAAAAATCATACATGGGCTAAAAAGCCACTCAAAATAAAAGACAGACCACCAGGTGCAATGGCCCATGCCTGTAATCCCATCTACTCAGAAAGCTAAGGCAGGAAGATCTCTGAGGCTACTGTTCCATACCAACATGAGCAAGATAGCAAGATACCATCTCTCAAAAAAAAAAATGCAAGATAGGACAATGAATTTTTATTCATTCAATTTTTATTTTTAAAGTAAGTTAATAACTGAAATTGTGTAT